GGAGGGAAGGGGTGGGTAAGTTTGAGGGCGTGCTTTAGCTCCCATGTGCAAATGCCTCTCACAATACTTGTGGTTGGGGAGCACATGGCATTGGCAGCGCCACTTCTTCCCATCCGTTCTCCTGCACCTCCCTGCCTCTGCCTCTGCATCGTCGATGACTCCATGAAAGCATCGCTCAACTCCACCAAAAAGAAAGTCGGAGTTAGTGAAGGCCGAGCAGTATGACTATGAGCGAGCGAACGAGAAACCTACCTGGAAGGACACTCTTTGGGGAGAAATCTAGGCCTTGAGCTGAAGCACATGGTTGTTGTTGTAGTTGTTGGCAGGAGGGTCCGGATATAGTAACAACACTCATAGTGTTGTTATAGTAACAACAGGAGTAAAAACGGAAATTAACAACAAAATTAAAAAAAAATACGTTTTCAAGTCCTATCTGCCCTCTCTCGATCTCCCGTACGCTCCCCCCGCTGTCGGCAGGAACGCGGCTACGACTCCGATCTGGCGGCTACGACTCCGATCTGGCAGCTACGATTGAAGCGTTTTCCCTATGGAATCCGACGCTGCTCGCCCGCCGTCCTCCTGCAGCTCAGATATTTTACTCGACGCCGCCTTCTTCTACTGCGTCTCCGTTTCAACACCGGAAAAAAATCCTCTGCCAAAAACCCCTAATTTCTCAGAGAGATTCCTCTCTTGGGGATTCCGCTTCCGTTCTTCCTTCCCCCAAACTTCAATCTCTCTGTTCTTCAATTTTTCGGAGAGGGGATAACATAGCAATGATCCGGGGGATCGAATTTCATCTCCTGGTACCAAAATCGTACGAAAGACACCAACCCAAAATCGAAATGAGAGCCTTGAGGGTGGAATCGATTGAAAGAAAACCCTAAATCAGAACGTTTTCTTCTGGGTTTCTGCGACACATATCTGAAGAAGGGCTGGTCGGCCGGCGTATGATGGATCTGTAAGCGAGAAGCTGCGAATTTGAAGGCATGCCGGAACGGAGGCGGGAGGTGCGGAGCTTCGAGAACAAAAAAAAATGCCCGGAGTTCGAGATGGAAAAGTGCGGCTTGGATTTCATCGTTGCGAAGAGAGCATGTTGCTGGGGAAGGTAATGGAAAAGTTGACGGGCGACGTCAAATTCGACAGGCTTTCTGATTGGAGAATTGGGTCGACCATCTAGTACTCTTGGTGAATAAGAGAAAGGGCAAGTCTAAGCGGCAGGAGGAAAATAGGTTTTAGGATTTTTCACTTAATTAAAAGAAAGAAAAAGGTTAATTTCCACCTCATATAGTTTTTGTTGACAAAAAATTGCCAAGTGATCAAGAACCGTTAGTCTAGTCAGCTTCCATCATGTTGCCGTTAAATTTATTGACGGAATGGCTATATTTGTGTATTTTTCAAAATTTGGCTATTATTGTCATATAGTGCCAAGTTTTGGCTATGCAAATGTATTTTGCCTATTAATTATGCACCCCATAAACCTTCTAATGCATACCACAAATCGCCTAAAACATACTAGAAATCCCACAAAGTAAACCACAAATATTTTATAAGCACGCCAGAAACCTCCTAATACAAACCACAAATGCGATAAAACAAACCACAAAAAGCATATCAGAAACCTCCTAAACTAGACCGCAGATGCTCTAAAACAAACCAGAAACCCCGCAAAGCAAAGCACATAATTTTAAAAAACACATCAGAAACCTCATAATGCAAACCACAAACACGAGAAAGCAAACCACAAAAACAAACCAGAAACGTCCTAATGCAGACCAAAAATCTATTAAAACAAACCAGAAACCTCGCAAAGCAAACCACAAAATTTTTTAAAGCAAACCAGAAACTTCTCAATGCAAACCACAAACACGATAAAGCAAACCACAAACTTCTTAATGCAAACCATAAACACGATAAAGCAAACCATAAAAGGCATACAAAAATATGAGAAACCAAACCATAAATCTCACAATGCAGACCATAACATCCGGTGGTCATTGACCGTTGACCGGTCAACGAAGTTCGTTGACCGAACTCCGATGACCATCAGTGAGCAGATTCCGACGCCGATAGGCATATTCCGACCCCGATGACTAGATTCCGACGCCGGTAAGCATATTCCGGCGACAAAAAGCATATTCCGGTGATCGGCGACCACTTTCCGGCGACCGGTGGCCGAATTCCGACGACCAAAATTTTGGTCCGAAAATTAAAAAAATATTTTTTTGTTTTTTTTGTTTTTATTATTATTTAAACATATTTTTCATAATGACAATTATACCCCTGCTTTGATTTTACACTAGGTCAACTCATCTAATAAAAAGTCATCATAATCCTAGCTTCCTATTGGTTGGAGACTAGTGTTGTTACAATAACAACAAAAGGAGTGTTGTTATAGTATCTAGTCCCTTGGCAGGAGGAGCAGTGGCGGGCGTGGGGGCACAAATCTGTGGTTAAAGTAGCTGGGAGGGCGCTGTTTTGGGATTAGAAGAAATTAGGGTTTTTATTTATTTTGAATAAAAGTGATAATGAGGTGGAAATGACATGGCAATTTTAAAAAATTTAATTTTATTTCACACATTTAACGACCAACTTTTAGAGTTGACCGCCACGTAAGCAAAAGTTAACGGAGTTGGACGGTGAGTGACTAAACGTGAACGGTTTCAGTAAACTGAAGTACCACCAATGGATTTAAATATTTCGAGTGACCAAACTTGAACGTTTTTTATAATCTCAGTGACCAATCATGCAATTAACCCATGATAAATTTGTCATTGATTGAGAAATCTACTACTACAGAAGGTTCAACTGTTAAGTTTGTTAATTTGTGCATTCATCAAACAAAGAATTGAGTTGAAAACAACTCCATTTTGTCATATGTAATAATAAAATGATCAGGTGTACACAATGATCTTTAATGGTGTCATAGAGTTTATTTCTGTGAGTGACAAGATTGATTACATCACAATTTCTAATGGTTTCGTTAGAATGAGATATCAAAGTTGCAAAATATTTTTGAGAATACATAAGGATCTACAGAGGTATCTTTTGACTTTAATTATATGACTGCCAAGATGGATCATTATTTAAATAATGAACAAGGGTTATATGTATCAATTAGAGGACAAATTTACCATCTATTGAACAGTCTTTTTGTGACAGGAAAATGCTTGCATTGCATTTCAATGTGGAGCAAAGTTAGGTACATACAACATACATACCCTAGGAGAGGCATCACAAAAGCAAAGGGAAAATGAAATCCCAATATAATGGCCCGTACAAATGCAAAAGAAAGAAACAGAAACAGGCCCAGCAAAAGTACAACCAAAATATAGAGCACGCACGAACAAGCAAATGTGAATCACCCCACAACAGCAGCCGCCTCCTTCAACCCTCATGAACATCAGCTGATCACCACTAAACCCGCCGCATGAAGATCAAGTCCCTCCGAAAAGAAGATCTCCAAAGAAGAGCCTCCAAAAGCCAAGAGAAGAGACCTGCAGAGACACGAGAGGGAATGATTTTTTTTTTTTCACGAGGCTGAAAAATATATTAGACCCTCACAATATTTGGCCCAAACATATAGATGTACGAAAGGCAAAACAAATTAAAAGTTAAGTACAACTTATGTTGTTCAAAACTGTTGGCAAATCAAAGAGCGCTCTAGGAGATAATCGTGAATATGATCTTCAAAATAATGATAAAGTGATGACTCTTATTGTTTTACATGATCGTTGCTCTTAGGGACTCTCAAACTAAATATGGTGGCCCTACTTTCAAATAAAGTTCGAATAATAATAATAATAATAATAATAATAATAGTAAATATAAGATAAATAGTAGCCTACCACTATTAAAAAATAACAAAATAATAATAAATGCCGCCCAATGGGCGGGTACAAAACTAGTCTCATTGTAAGATAGAATTGAAGGTACCTAACAGGGATATAAAATAGTAGTTTCTATGAGTTGAATCTCATTTGCAAATAGAACTTAAAGGTGAAACCAACTAGAATGCCTCCGGTATAACATTTCAGTCAATTTCAATCAAAACCGAAAATTTTGGGTGTCCAATCGGTTTCAGATTCCGGTCATTTATCAGAAACGCTGACGTTTTAAACTGATTGTAAAAAAAAATAAAAAAATAAAAGCATCCCTCCCTCTTACAAGTTGCCCAAGCCCGTTGTTTCTTATCCCCCAACGACACGAAATTGCTCACTGTAAAGTCCTCATATATTTTGTTAATAATATGATCATTCATGGGTTGTTACTTCTTAGAGTTGAAATAGTGGGTTTCGGGTTTCCCACTTAGCTTGGTTCTTTTGATTGTGTTCTGATGAAGATGATGGGTGCTTGTTATGAGGTTCATTTTATAGTGAAGGTTCACTTAGTATATTCATGACTTGAAATTTAATAAAAACCGGTATAAACAAATTGTATCAATGGTAAAATCATTACATTTATAAAATCGCCGTACCGGTATAAACCGGTTTGACCACCTTGGTATCATGCAATAATAGCTCGTCACTGTCTAACACCAGTACACCATTATGTTTCGTGAAGGTAACTTTTGGCAACCGAAACAAAGGGTTTAACAAGAAAAGAACCAACCAAAAGCCATGCACTTGCCATCCAACGTGCTTCAAAGTAACTCAAAACCGAATTGGCACATTGGATGCGGAAAGTGCTTGAAGCGATTGGGTATCCAAGTAACTTCACCATTTTTTGTTTATAAACCCTATTCTCGTCCACTGTTTTCTCTGAATTTCTGTCCAAAACAAAGGCCACAAAGCACTCTGCCGTTCAATTGTTTTCAATAATCTTATCTGCTATTGGTCTCTTCCTTTCCTGTGTGCTGAAACTCATCCTGGGTTTCCTGACAAGTGGACAATTAGGCGTACACTAATTGGCTGTGGGACAGTAAGGTTGACAATTTACTTCCTCTGACTCCTCCATCTGTCTTTTCTCCACGTATAAATTCAGTACCAACTATGTATCGTCGCATGATTAAAGCCTTACCGGTCTTTCACAACAATCATTATAACAAGATCATCAGACAAGCTACCAACAGTTGTGAGTTCTCTCCCCGCAAAACTCAAACTCCTGTTCCAGAGCCCACCATGTCAAGCTCTGCGGGCCTTATCATTCCCTGCAAAGGTACTTCTATTCTACCACAACAAAGAGCAGAGCTTTCTGCGCTCCCGGTGGGCTTTTCCCACTTTCCCAGTTGGCCGGCCGGTGTTCGGCCCTCTGCTTTAACAAGGGTTTTTTCTTTTGGTGTTTGCCTGATTGCAGCTGCAGTTGCATGGGAAGCAGGGAAACCGCTAGTGATGGAGCAGGTGGAAGTGGCTCCACCACAGGCATTGGAAGTGAGAATCTAGATTAAGTACACCTCCCTCTGCCACACTGATCTCTATTTCTGGGAAGCCAAGGTCAGTCACTCTAAACTTAACTACCACCACCATGATTTTTCTCCAGGGAAAAGTAGATAGATATAGTTGGTCCCTTGTAGGAGTTTCTACTGCAGATTTTTCTCAAGCATATCTGGTCCCTTCTAGTTAGCTTTCAAACTTAAGTTGCCAACATCATGTGGCTTCAATAGAGCAGGAACATGTGAACCTGCCGCCATGCTTGTCTTCTTTATTGGCTTCGCGTCTTCTGCTTCTTTGAAATCACTTTCCAAGCTCGATTCTTGATTATGTACATCCATGTCCTACAGACACAACATGTGTGTGAATGTGGCATGCTCAGGATCGTCTTGTATGGAACAGAACAGTGACACTTTTGGTGGTCCGAAATGAAAACATCAAATCCATCATAGCCCTCAGAGTTGGCACTTCAGATAAAAAAAAAATAAGCTCCCAATTTTTAACTCACTACATGAACCTGTTTCTCATCTGCTGTTTCAGGGCCAAACTCCACTCTTTCCGCGCATATTTGGCCATGAAGCTTCTGGGTATTGCATTCCTCCTTTATCTTCTGCTACATGTGAATGAAACTTGCTATTTTTGGTTGTTTACTCTTAAACTGATTCCCGTTGCTGTACAGAATTGTCGAGAGCGTTGGAGAAGGGGTTAATGATTTCCAGGTCGGAGACCATGTTCTTCCGGTATTCACAGGAGAATGTGGACAGTGCAGGCACTGCAAGTCCGAGGAAAGCAACATGTGCGACCTGCTGAGGATAAACACTGACAGAGGTTTCATGCTCAACGACGGAAAATCCCGTTTTTCAATCGACGGACAGCCAATACATCACTTCCTCGGCACCTCTACCTTCAGTGAGTACACGGTTGTGCATTCAGGTAGTCTGGCAAAGATCAATCCACTTGCACCACTGGACAAAGTGTGCGTTCTCAGTTGTGGCATCTCAACAGGTAACTCTTACCTCTCAATGAAGCTTTCCTCATAACCCCAGTCATCAAAACTTCAAAAATTCGTCAAAATGAGCTATCCATTTCAGGACTGGGTTCCACGTTGAATGTGGCGAAACCAAAACAGGGTTCAACAGTAGCCATCTTTGGTCTGGGAGCTGTTGGCCTAGCGGTAAGTTTCAACAAACAGTAACTGTGTCCTGCTGAGTAACATCGAAGAAGATACTGCAGATGGTGAGGAATGTTACCTTGACATGTTGGCTAACTGTATTAATTTAGGCTGCTGAGGGCGCAAGAATTGCTGGAGCATCCAGGATCATTGGCATCGATTTGAATCCAAAGAGGTTTGAGGAAGGTAAGAGTTGCTTGTCTGTTTGTCATTACAGAATCACGCCTCTTAAGTAAAGAGCACTGACCAGCTCACCTTCTTCCACCTGTACTTTTCAGCAAAAAAGTTTGGAGTTACAGAGTTTGTGAACCCGAAGGACCAGGACAGACCAATTCAAGAGGTCGGCATTTCCTTGCTGACTGCTTCATCACCATTCTGCACGAAAATTGAACTTCTTATGAAATATTACCACCCATTTCCAGGTAATTGCAGAGATGACCGATGGCGGCGTTGACAGGAGCATAGAATGCACCGGCAACATCAGTGCAATGATTTCAGCTTTTGAATGTGTTCATGATGTAAGTTAAATTTAAGACGAGCACAAAGAAGGCCTCTGCTGAATTTCATACTGTTTAAATGAATTGCTACGCATGTAGGGATGGGGAGTGGCAGTCCTTGTAGGAGTCCCTAACAAGGAGGCAGTGTTTATGACTAAACCCATCAACTTGCTTAGCGAGAGAACGTTGAAAGGCTCTTTCTTCGGGAACTATAAACCAAGAACCGACCTTCCATCTGTCGTTGAAATGTATATGAACAAGGTAAGACAGTTCTTCGCTTCCTTCCAACCCCATGCTCGTTGCCCCTGCATTTCACTGAAGTGGATGAGGTTTTCCCTCTGCAGAAGCTGGATGTCGACAAGTTCATAACTCATCGAGTGCCTTTCTCAGAAATCAACAAGGCCTTTGACTTGATGCTGAAGGGGGAGGGCCTGCGATGTGTTATTGATATGGAGAAGTAATATATAAGAAAAATAATGGACAGAACATCCTACTCGGTTATGTGATCAGCTTTATGCAATTTGTTCGTCATGTATGTCCTCAATCTGACAATGAAGGTGTGAGCAAACAAATACAAGGAAATAAATAGAAGCCCATTTCGAAACAATGGGGAGTGTATTGTCAGGAGTGGCATTGACCCAAATCTGTAGAAGCGCTTGTATTAGTAATATAAAGATGTAAGGAACAGCAAATCTATGATACACCTGATCTAATACCAAGAAGGAGCCTTTCAGATATTTGAGCTTCTAGGCTGATCATGAACCTCCAGTTGAAGATATGAGGCCAGCTTTTTCGGCGTGTACTTCGTCTTCCACCAGCCAATAGCTCTTCTCCTCCTATGACACCAATATATGAGAGAAAAACATTCCTTCATTGCTGCTGCTAAGCCTGCGCCAGGACTATTTATTGTACTTCTCCATTATTCTTCGAGCTTCCTTTACAGCCTCCTCTGATGAAAAAGTCGGAGCGTCCGAGACTCTGCCTCCTTTGGGACCTTGATCTTTGTTGAAGGCAATGAACAGGAAATATACCAGCCCCATCGTAGCCTAAGCAGAAGACGAGAATACATCGTTTATTCGATGCCCCGTCACCAAAAGGACAGAAACTTCAGTACTTCAAACATGACTCTGCAACTTCAGAGTCCACATCGCAAAGTGAAAAGAGAGGGGAAAGAGAGATACATTTATACATACCAGGGCAAAGAACGCTGTAGACAAGAATGATTTCAGCAGAATGAAAGAAACAGTGAGCAGAGCAACGGTCACTGAAACTCTGGCAATGGGCCTTGGAATGGAGACCTGTGAGGAAAGTCTAGCTCCATTAGAAAGAGTGATTCTCAATCGCTACCAATTGGGATAGGATGCAGGGGGAAACCTTACAGGCACTAGGCTGATTCCCGCATCGATGCCATCCTTCCCAACCTTCCACACGGTTTGGATAACTATTCAGATTGTGACAGACATAGATTAGAAGGGAGTAACAAAGGAAATTCGGAGTGATAAAACCTAGCTTCCTTTTCTCATTACTTTCACTACCAATTTATAGGCCGAACAAGGAAGAAGATGACAAAGTTCATACATCTGTTTTGTAGGTTGGAATGGAAACAACTACAGTCTTGGAACGAAAGGAAACACAACTATCAACTGGGAAAGAACAATACGCAGCACATCATACTAAACGACATCGCAACAGGAAAGGAAAGAAACGACAGCGCAGCGATAAGTCCCGGAACGAGGAAGGAACGACGTCGTAGGGAAAGTGACCGTTGAAATTGATTTTCAATCTGTTACCCCCCCCCCCCCCCCCGCGCAAGCTGGTGGGCAGAGGTTTTGCACACCAAGCTTGGAGAGCAATGTGGTGAAAGGAGCTGGGGAAAGTGGTTTTGTGAAGAGATCGGCGAGCTGATGAGAAGAGGAGATGTGAAGAAGTTTGGGAGTACCGGTTTGGAGCTTCTCTCTGACGAAGTGACAGTCTAATTCGATGTGTTTTGTCCTTTCATGGAAAGTGGGGTTCTTGGCGATGTAGATGGCACTTTGGTTGTCGCAGTAGAGGTTGGCAGGGAGAGATGTAGAGACCTGGAAATCTTGGAGGAGATATTGAAGCCATTGAATTTCAGATGCAGTGAAGGCAAGAGCGCGATATTCAGCCTCACAGGAGGATCTGGAAACGGTATGTTGCTTCTTGCTTTTCCATGAAATGAGAGAATCACCCAGATATATGCAAAAACCAGTTGTTGATCGCTTTGTATCCACACAGGCAGCCCAGTCTGAATCTGTGAAAGCTTTTAATTGAAAAGAACCCTTGGAGGGGAAGAAAAGACCTGATGCTGGTGCTGACTTGAGGTATCTCAGAACCCTTAAAACAGCCTTGTAATGAGTTGTAGATGGGAAGGTCATGAATTGGCTTAGCTGCTGTGTTACAAAGCTGATGTCTGGACGAGTAATAGTCAAGTAGATTAGCTTTCCCACCAATGTTCTGTAGTGTTCTGGATCCTCATATGGAGTGCTCTCATCATTGCTGAGATGTAATTTGTAGTCCATTGGGGTAGTGACAGGCTTTGAATCAAGAACATTTGCTTCTTCAAGTATTTCCAATGTATATTTCCTTTGTGAAAGATGAATGCCAGAATTGCTTCTTGCTACTTCAATGGCAAGAAAATATCTCAAGTTGCCAAGATCTTTGATGCTGAATTCTCTGTGTAACAGTTCCTTCAATGCTTGTATTTCTGTTAAGTCATTGCCTCCTATAACCAGATCATCGACATATATGAGAATGCATGTGTAGGAAGAAGATGTAACCTTGTAGAACAGGGAATGGTCTGCTTTGCTTTGAATGTATCCAAGCTGATGAAGCTTGTCTGTAAGTTTGGAGAACCACTGCCCGGAAGCTTGTTTCAGGCCATAAAGTGACTTTTTTAGTCAACAAACTGGGTTAGGAATGCCAGTAGGAGGAGTGAATCCCTGAGGTAGGGTCATGTAGACTTCTTCTTGTCGTTCTCCATTGAGAAATGCATTATCCACATCCAATTGATGGATATGCCAGTTTCTGAGGGCTGCAATAGCTAAGAATGTCCTGACAGTAGTCATTTTGATGACTGGGGCAAATGTGTCTTGAAAATCAATCCCTTCTTGTTGTGTGTTACCTTTGGCAACCAATCTAGCTTTGTGTCTTTCAAGAGAACCATCAGACAGGAACTTGTCTTTGTAAATCCATTTGTTTCCAATTGGTTTCTTGCCTGGTGGTAGAGAAACCACATCCCAGGTTTGATTTTTGATCAAAGCCTTGATCTCTTGTTGCATAGCTTGATTCCAGATATCATGTTTAGAGGCTTCCTTGTAATTTTGTGGTTCTTGGTGACTGGAAATGCTCAGTAAGAATTTTCTGAATGGGAGAGAAAGATTGTTGTAGGAAAGAAGTGAGGAAAGTGAGTACCTGTTGTCTGTGATATGGTGCAGATTGGAGTGATTGATGCTGCTAGGACCTTGAGATAGGTAACAATGGTAGTTCTGGAAAAGATGGGAGGGGGGTTTTGATGTTCTGTCAGAACATCTGACTTGAGGTTGTGGTTGAGGAAGGGGAGATGGTTGTGGTGTTGGTGAAGGGGAGACAGGAGAAGGAGAAGAAGCAGGTGATGGAGTTGGGGTGGAAGGAGGAGAAGAGGATGGGGTTGAATTGGAGGGAGAGGGATGGTTTGTACTATCAGTGGAGGTAGAAGGATCAACATTGTTGGGTCGAGAAGGTGAAGTTGTTTCATGGAGCAGAGGGGAATGTGGAGGAGGAATGGGGAATAGAATGTCTAGATCAGAGGGTAAAGGATCTTGGTCATGGTTTGAGTGGAAAGGAAAATGAGATTCATAGAAGATGACATCTCTAAAGGTAAATGTTTCATGAGTAGATAAGTCATAGAGTTTGTACCCTTTTATACCAGGAGTGTAACCAATGAAAATTGATTTCCTGGCTCTTGGCTGGAATTTGGTTCTGTGGTTAGCCAGTGTGCTGGCATAACACAAGCAACCAAAGACTCTCAAGTCAGTGAGGTCTGGTGGTCTGTTGTAAAGGATTTGAAATGGAGATTTGTTTGAAAGAACAGGGGTGGGGACTCTATTTATCAGGTGTACTGCATGTTTGACACAGTCACCCCAGAAGGCAGGAGGTAAGTTTGCTTGGAATTGAAGGGCTCTAGCAACAGCAAGGATGTGTTGATGTTTTCTTTCCACCTTGCTGTTTTGTTGAGGTGTTTCAACACAGGACATTTCATGGAGAATGCCTGTTGAGTTAGAGAATTCTTCCATTTGGAATTCTTTACCCTGATCACTCCTAATGGTTTTAATGGTGGACTGAAATTGTCTTTGCATTTGGTTGCAGAAAGCAATGCAGTCAAAATCGCGCTTTAAAACTTAAAAACTTACGGTTTTACTCTTCTAGGTCACCAAAACGCTTTCGTTTCTATGTAAAAACTTTAGTGTATAAAATCATACTAAATTGCGCTTTAAAACTTAAAAACTTACGTTTATACGCTTCTAGTTCACTAAAACGCTTTACGTTTTTACGCTTTTACTTCACTTAATGGGAATCTTTCATGAAATTAATTATAAAAAGTATATTTTAAAAATAAATCACCGACAATATGATATGTTTAAGATTAAAAGATACATACCAATACTTGGACGCATTATGAACGTCAATAAAGTAATCTAATCACCATCTAGGCTCTTCTCAAATTCATTAGCATGGAGGGGAAGGTGACTTTTTTATAAGATTTATATTTATGAACTTAATATTAAGAGGCTATAAGTTGCTCTACTTTAGACATGAATTGCAAGTATTTATTAACTTATCTGAATTTTGTGCACTCATATTTTTCATAGTATATGTCGTACTTAACATATTTTTAGTTCTTTTACAGTATGTGTCAAAAACTTACGCTTTTACGCTTTAATTCTACGCTTTACGATTTTACCCCTTTTCCGCTTCTAGGTAGAATCGCGCTTTTGACTGCATTGGCAGAAAGCAATGAGTTTTGGTCTTGCTTCTGACTTTAAATGAAGGAGAATAAGCCAAGTCATTCTAGTGTAGTCATCAACTACAGTTAAGAAATATTTGAATCCATCATAAGAAGGAAGAGGGTTAGGACCCCAAATGTCAACATGTATGAGTTCAAAAGGTAACTGTGTTACAGACTGGCTGATAGGAAAAGAAAGTCGTTTTTGCTTGGCAAAATGACAAACATCACATGGTTGATCCTTCTGATTAGTAATGGAGGTACAAAATTGGTTGAGAAGTGGTATTTTAGAGTGAGATACATGTCCTAGTCTAAAATGCCACAAATCAAAGGTGGATGTAGAGGCATCAGAAATCAATTTAGGAGGATGTGATGCTTGAAGGTAATAAAGTCCATTGTGAAGGCTAGCAGAACCAATCACTCTCTTCTGCTCCAAATCCTGTATAAGACAAGTAGTAGATTGAAAGGATAAGCTTAGTGGTGTGGTGGAGGTCAGTCTGCTCACAGACAGGAGGTTAAAGGTAAAGTTGGGAACAAACAGGGCATTTTGGAGAGTCAAGGCATCATGGCATTTTGCTGTGCCAGTGTGGGTTGCCTGGATTTGAGCTCCAGTGGGGAGAGTGATGAATATATTTGACAATGGCTGTGGATTTGTTAAGTACTCTAAGGAGCAAACTATGTGGTCTGAAGCTCCAGTATCAATAATCCATGGTTTTTGTATGTTGGTGATAGCATTCAAGACAGGAATTGAGAGAGAAGGAGTTGGAAGGATACCTTTGTTGCTAACAAAGGCAGCAGCAGAGAATGAAGGTTGGTTCTTCTGAGCATTCATCAAACTCATGAGTTTGTCATAGTCTGCTCTTGTGAGCTTTACTTCATCTGATGAAGAAGTGCCGGTGACAGCATTTGCAGCAGGAGGTCTACCTCTTCCAGTACTAGAAGTTGGATATTTGGGCACAAAGTTCTGTGGATATCCATTCTTTTGAAAGCACTTGTCCTCGGTATGGCCTCTTCTTCTGCAATAGGAACAAGTGACTGGAGTACTGCTTGAAGTAAAGGAGGGCTTGGTCATTCATGGTGGCCAACCATGTTTTTGAAAACAGATATCCTCAGTGTGCCCTTCTCTTTTGCAGAATGTGTAGTATGGTGGTTTAGCAGAAGAGTTGAATCTTCTGTTTCCTCCTTGAATGGCAAATGCTGACTGGTCTGTGTGGAGAGATGCCACCATTTTGTTGGATTGAGAACCATAGTTCTGTCTTTCATGTTGCAACATTCTTTGAAAAACTCGATTGATGTTGGGCAATTCATCACCAAACAGCACTTGGGGTCTGACTCCAGAGAAGTTTTCATTTAAACCTCGAAGAAACTTGATTACATAACTAGTTTCTTGATATTGAAGAACTCTTGTCATGGCAACACAGTCAATGTGGCTAGTGGGTGTACAGGTACATGGAAGAAGTGGTTGATAGTTCTCTAACTCATCCTTTAGAGTAATGAGT